AAGATTGTGAACATGCTTATTCTATTAGAAACGAAACAATGAAGAAACTGTTCTATGTCCTGTTGAAAGCTACAATAATAATAATAAACAAGAGGACTCCACTTTGTCAGAAACAAATCCACAGAATAGTGTTGCTAAGGTGAAAGAGGATGACCTAATAAATATTTTAACACACAGGGATATTGAATTTGTGAGGTTTGATACAACAGGCTCAGCAGTTGTAATACATTGACATCGCACAGAGATTGTTTAAGTTGGAGCATATGAATTTCAGCATAAAGAAGGTCCATTTGATGCCAAAGATGGGCGTTCTATGACTGCATTTTGGTTCAAACAACGTTTTCTGAATGGACAAGAGGTCAGTTGTTCCTGGTTGGTGTATTCACCTCTACATAAAGCAGCATACTGCTTTTATTGTCTTTTTTCATCTACATGTATGACATCCAATAGTCGGTCTGCTTTCAAAACACAGGGTGAATTCTCTAAGTAGAAAAAAAAATTGAAAAGTTAAATGCCCATGAAAATAGTGACAGTCATCTTGAGTCATTTGCTGCTTGGAAAGAAACTGAACACCGAATTCGTCTTCAAAGTGGCATTGATGAAGAGCTGCAAAGGCAAATTCAGCAAGAAAAAAATAAATGGAGAGATGTACTGCAACGGTTGCTGGATTGTACACAAGATTTAGCTTCTCAGAATCTTGCATTTCAGAAAAGGCAGTAAAAGTTGTACATGAAAAACTGGAAGAATTGCTAGGACTGTTAGAGCAATTAAGTGAGAATGGCAACATGGCTTAAACAAAATTTGGTGCTCATAATATTATGCAACGCATGCTTACATTTGATTTTCTTGTACTTTTGCATTTTTGGAGAGATCTTTTATCATCTATCGATCGAGTACAGAAACATCTTCAAAACCTAAAAATGAATTTTAGAGAAGCAGCTGCTAATCTTGATTCTTTGAAAGAGAAATTGATAGAATCATGTAAAAAGTCCTGTCAAGAAGCACTTAAAGTGGGCAAGAATCAATGTGAAACAAGGGGATTGACCATTGAAAGAAGAAAAATACGTCGCAAACGAATTTCAGGTGAAAATGCAGCTGATACTGGATTGACTGCTGAACAGGAAATTTAGCACATCATGAAGGATGTTATTGATCGCTTGATTACAGAAATACCAGGACGATTTTCTCGCTAACTAGATTTAGATTCATGGTTTGAATTTTTACTACCTGTGCAAAATATTGTTTCTGGAGATTTCAGAGATGGAAAATTGCAAGAAAATGTTCTGACTTAAACAAAGAGC